GCATAAGAGAAATGCATCTTCACAAAACTGTTGGAAATTCTGGATATAAAAGATGCAAAGCATTTATCCTAAATTAAGTTGAAAAGTGAAATTAACAAAATGGCTAAAGGAGTTTTAACATGAAACATTAATTGGGACTTAATGGTTCTAATTTTAGCAGTGGAAAAGAGACATAATAACATTCCACCAAACCTTTGTTGGAGTTCCTTGTAATATTGCCTTAACTGTGGCTTCCAAGAACGTGCTACACAATCCGCTCTCTGAATCAGAATCCAATTATTTTATATTGGTTTCATGCTTTTACCCAAGAGAAATTCATAAATTGTTTTTAATCACTTCTTTTATTTTAAATCAATAGTGTCTGCAAAGCAGATAACATTTCCCATTAAAACATCACCTCCTGTCATTGGTATAATTACTTTGTAAAGAGATAAACCACAGCACAATTTGACAGTCTTTGGGTTTATAAAATCTCATTATGTCACAACACAATATTTTATTCTTAGTGATCATAAAAAGAGCATACACTTGAACAAAACCCAAACATTTATGATGCAGAAATTGGAAAGAAACAAGTTAATATTGCATATGGTACCGCCTCTATTAGAGTCTCTGGGAGAGAGCTCCTTTTTACTGGTTGAGGAAGTAGGGAGGTTTGAGGGAGTCCTGGTTCCCTTCACTGGGGTTGGCAGTCATGTGGCTGGAGGTGGAGGGTTTGGCACAATCCCAAGATACAAGCTTCTCAGGGAGGCCCAGGACCCTGTCCCTCAGGTCTGGAAGAGACAATATGGCCTCAGTTTTTCATCCCACATGCATAGGCTGCTGCATAGAAGAGTGGGGGTAGGGGGAGGGAGGTGGAGGATGGCATGATCTCCAACTTCTGTTTTAGCAGATTTGCTTTCACCTATTTTACATCTTGGGCTTCTGCAACAGATTTCATCTGGAGAAAGGGAATCAGTTGCTTTTGAAAACCTCTGCTCTATGCGATAGTCGTGTGCTGACTCTGTGTCAAAGAGAGGATGGCTGGAAATACAAGAAAAGAAAAAAAGCTAGGAAAACCCTCTGATGGAACCAGGAGGGCAAAGAACAACCCATGCTACATGAGAACCACCTGCTAAAACTCATATGCCTTTTTATATCGTCAATTTTATATCTAACTCTAGTAAAGACAAATTCCTAATTTAAAAAATGATAAAACACACACACACATAAACGAAGAAAACACCCTCAAACTGTAATTTGTCTGTATCTCCCCTTATTGTTTTTTTGTATAAGAAAAGGGAGTAGGTGGGGCACCAGGATGGTTCAATATGTTGTGTCCATCTTCGCCTCAGGTTGTAATCTTATAGCTCTTGGGTTTGAGCCCCGTGTGGGGCTCTGTGCTGATGGCTTGGAGCCTGGAGCCCGCTTTGGATTTTGTGTTTCTCTCTCTCTCTGCCCCTTCCCTGCTTACACTCTGTCTCTGTCTTTCTCTCAAATATAAATAAATATTAAAAGAAAAAAAAAGAAAAGGGAGGTTGGGTGTGAGAAAGATACTAGAACAGGAGGAAATTGAATGTCCCTTAATCAGCTATAGTATTGTCTGGACGTGGTATTCCATCTTGCTTTAACATCACTGAGGATTAATCTGCTTTTCTTTGTATTTCTTTCTCCTTCTTCCCTCTCAATGGTATCTTGAGGGACTTTTTCTGCCTCTTTCTCTCTTCCTTCTACTCCTTAACCCATACCAATAAGCATGGCATCTCCATTTAGGAAGCAGCAACTTAACAAACATTGTAGACTCAGAGAAAGAAAGTTACTAATAAGCCCAAGGGCTAGACGGAAAGATTAAAAGATACACTTGTCCTCAAAATCTACAGAAGATTCTAGCTGAGAAAGGGGAGGTGGCTGGGTTTCGGGTTAGAGGCAACTTGTACAAGAGACCAAGACTCCAGCCCTATTGTCTTCTTCTTCCCCCAAAATGTAAGATCCTCATAGGGCATGTATTGTCTGTTTTTGTCCCCCCGCCCAGAATATAAGCCCTAACGCTGCAGGGACTTGGCTGGTTTTGTTAACATCTGTATTGGTCAAAGTGCCCTGCACCTTGTAGGGGCCTTCAATACTTCAGTGAATACTTGTTGAATAAAAGCATCATAGAACAAAAACCCTTGCTCACTTACCAAGGTCGCATTATGATAAAACCATTGAAATTTCCCCTGAGTTGGGGCAATGGCAGTGCCTCCATCAAAAGTATAGCCTCAGTTTTTGGTCTATTGGGACCAACAAGGGCTAAAAGCAAAGATGGAACTAGAAGAATCTTCTCCATGCTGAATAGTGATGTGAGTGTGGAAAAGACACTCTGGTAAGAGAAAGCCTCCTGCCTACTCCAGGAGACAAGAAGTTCTAAAGGAGGCACTCACTGCAGTGGAAGCATACAGAGATCAAATAATGCTGCAATCCCTTAAACTTGACAAAAGCTTTTTTGATGTGTGGCCAATTACAATGATAGTGAAATACACTATGAAAATACTCTTCATATGTTAACAGATGTCTTCATCAGATTGGTAAACATCAGGAATTTGTCTCAGTCTTTTGTTAACTCTACCCCAAATACTACCTGCCTTTTTTCTTCATTATATTTTCCCTTTGAAGAAGAATAAAGGAAAGTCATATTGTTAGTTTACAAGTCAAAAAATTTAATATTAGCACTTCATTAGTGATTTAAAACATACTCCTTCCAGAATATGTAAAGTACAACAAATATATACATATTTTAGGATAAACAGAAAAGAAATACATAGCAAGGGATAGGTTGTTAACACTGTGAATAGTTAATGTTCCATTTTGGAGCAAAATGGCTTTAATAAATGATACTAAATAAAATAAGGAGGACTACCAATGCAAAAAATTGAATCGTGACAAATTGCTTATATAAACAGTCTTCATAGATAGAGTGATCATATAATTCAATCATCCAAATGGGATGCTTGAGTGAAAGGGTACACTGGTCATAATTAACACTGGGCAACAGACCATAAAGCAGGATAAACCAGGGTATATGGTCGTCTTCCTCACAGGGTGTGTAACAATAAAATTGCTTTTAGGTTTTTTATTTTGAAAAAAAGAAAACACCTAAAAAAGTCAAAATCGGTTTTTCATGTGCTAAACACAAAGTAGGTAACTGATCCTTTTTTGATTAACTGCTCAATTTGTTGCAACAAACTATTTAATTTGAGTATAAATTATTATTGTTGAAACTGATTAGAAAAGAGAAATTCAGTGGGTAATCTACCCTGTTCTCAAATTATTCTGCTCATTAGAAAAATTTCCCCCTGGGCCATAAAAATTAATCAGAATAGAAAAGTCTGCTGAATACCATCTCTCAGCTGAAAATACACATCTCGTATTTTAAAATCACCTCTCTTTCAGTATTGACCAGGTTGGTAGGTAAGGTTCATCTCTAGTCCCAGACCTTATTGAGTGTAGGCATCAGGAGCACTGTGTTGAGAGGATTCTGAGGTCACCTTGGGGCTTAGCAGAAAGGTGTATGGTGCTCAGTTAGGATGTTTGCAGGAGACATGGGTATGGAGCAGTGGCATGTGTGGCAAATATTGCCATCCCAGATTTGGACAAACATCTGTTGTTAACAATATTTTTCTGACATATATCTACTTATGTGGGGAACAAAGGCAAAAGAAAATAGTTAAATTTTCTTGTAACTTACAGCCCATTGACAAGTCTTTGAGACAGGCAGAGTGACCTCCCTCTAGGAGCTCAACTGACTCAATGTTAATACTTTGCTAAGGGCAAAAGGCAGTCTTAGCTTAACATTATCCCGACCTCCATGATCCTGTGAGTTTACTTTAAACATACAGAAATTCCTTTATTTCCACCCCCCTAGATATATGTTAACAGTCATCCTCCAGGCATATGGCCCACTGATATACATCTGAAGGAGCTCATGACTGAGGGTTTACTAGACAGTAATAAATGACCTTTTCCCAACAAGAACTAGCTCCCTCAAGGTCCTGGAAACCTTGCTTCCAAAATTCCTTAGAGATTTACGCTATCCTTATCCCCCTCCCAACTTGAAGGCATACAATCAGTCACCTGTCACAACCCCAGTGCAGTTCTTTCTGTCCATGGGTCCTGTCCCTGTGCTCATTAGAAAAATTTCCCCCTGGACATAAAAATTAATCAGAATAGGGATAATAGAAACAGAATAGAAAGAAAAAGAATAGAAAGAAAAATCACCTTTTTGCACCAAAGATATATCAAAAATTCCTTCCTAACCATTTGCTCTAAACTCCAACATTTCCACATCATCTAATATATAGCTGCTCGCAAAAGAAATAATTATACCTTGCTGATATTGCATCTGCTACTTCAGTTCTACCATAGTGTAATTAATATACCAACTACACCACAGGACAAAAATGTATCACTCTTAACTTGAATAAAGACAGCAGTTTCATGATGTCCTCACTTCATTGTTTTATAACCTACTTAGTCCAAAATCAAAATAAGGGAAGATCAAATACCTAATACCTGAGTGGAAAGTAGTAGAAACAAATAATACAACAACCATGCTAATTAATTGCTCCTCTGTTTCTATTCTTATTTTCTTTTGGGGGACTATATTTTTATCTACTCAAGAAAATTTTAAGCCATAAAATGAAAATAAACTTGCTTCTCCCTTGCAAACAAACATTAACATCTTAATTTTTAAGAAGTATTTTCAACATTTATTTTACTGCCACATATCTTTTACTATTTAACCTTCTTACAATGGAAAGATCTATTCTCTGCCTTGTAATAAGGGAAAATGAAAAGGATTTAGCTGATACTTTTTGAAGGTGTACCTAATATCAGTGCTTCTTTTGTGAGTATGAAGTATGTTCTATCTTTAGATTTTAAATCTCTAATTTTGGAAAATAGGGCAGAATTAAATTTATGAAGAGGAGGAGATCCAACTTCAGATTGCAAGACAGCCTTCCCATATTAACTTTGACTATGCAGCTCTACTTTTTCAAGAGTGAAATTGTATTAAAGTGGTTTTCCAAAATATTTTGTGGAAAATAAGAATTAATGGATGGCAACTCCTCATTCATGATCCCCAAACAGGAGACAAATTCATCAGGCAACAGCGTCTGTTCTGAAAGAGTTTCCTTGGGTGAAGCATTTTCTAAAAACAGGGTCGTTTCTTCCTCTACTGAGTTTTTCATGTCCAGAGAACTGCATTCTCCTTGATTCAAGATGAGGCTTAATTCTTCAAGAAGTAGTGTGTTGCTTAGCGAATTCATACTTGAGACAGAAAAAGCAAAATTAGGATATTTTTTAAACATGGCATTTTTCCCCAGGTCTAAGGAATCAGCTGGCGGTTTGAGAGTTGAGGAAGCTGTTTCATCATTTTGCCTGAGATGGCTTCCTCCAGTGAGAAAAGTTGAAATCTGGGGTTTATACCCAGGGCTGAGGCCAGGCATATACATAACTGTAGTGTTGGTGAGTAGTGACTTTTGTAGGCAGTCTGTTGTCTCCAGGGGCTCTGTATTCTTTTCCATCTTGTAGTCTGTGGGCTTGTGTTCTTCTGGAAGAAAGATTTCTATCTCTGCAACCACAGGATCAACATATAGGACTTGTTCGCTGGAATTATTATCCATAAATTCACTTTTTTCCTAGGAAGAAAGTTTTTTTTTTTTAATTTTACAAAAGACATTTAAAGGGCCTAACAGGATAAATTAAAAAAAAGACTGGAATTCCGCTTTCCCTCAGCTTTGCTTTTCCCTCCCTCTTCTGATATTGTTTCTCTTCCCATACAATTTCCTCCTTTTGTTATCCTGCTCAATTCCAGATCTTTATTAAATTCTCCCATGAGGAGACTATGGAAAGGAATAATAAAAATAATTACTGTTTTAAGCACATGACTTGGCTTAAAAATTTTTAAGAGAAAGATGTGTCTTGCATATTAACTTATATATTATTTCAGTGCCTTTTAAAATTTGGAAGTTTAATGTGTTGGAATATTCCTTAATATCATGGAGCCTTACTACAAGAAAATATCTCATTGTTTAAATAAAAGAAAGGAAGGTAGGAGAATCTTGTTTTGTTTCTAATTTTTGAATAAAGTAGTAATAAATATTTTGTGCTGAGGTTCTGCAGGTATGCAGCTAGCTATACAATTCAGACATGAATGGGAGCATCAGTGAATAAGGTTTTTATTTATATAAAAGCCTAATGACTCTTCTGAGTAAGAAAATGACTTGAGGCCTTGCTGCTTGTTGACTGGCTTCCCAGGCAAATAACTCCCACCCTACACTGTTACAAAATTATAGCCAGTTGCTATGGACTGAATGTTCGTGTCCCTTCAAAATTCATATGTTGAAGCCCTAATCTCCAGTGTGATGATATTAAAAGGTGGGACCTTTGGTGGGTAATTAGGTTGTGAGAGTGGAACTCTCATGAATGTAAGTAGTGTCCTTATAAGAAGAGACAGGAGATTGTGATCTCTGCTTCTGCCGTGTGAGGATACAGCAGGATGGTGGCCAACTGTAAGAGAGCTCTCACCAGAAGCTCAACCTGCCAGTGTCCTAATCTTGGACTTACCAGCCTCCAGGACTGCAAGAAATAAATGTTTGTTGTTTAAGCCACCCAGTCTATGTTATTCAGTTATAGTAGTCTGAGCTGAGCAAAATACCACCTTTTAGTCTTTGGGCAGAAAACAAAACTTCATCTGAAGGTTTGCTTCTAATACCAGGAGCCCAGAATGGGCAGGAAGTTGGGCAAGAAGGAAGACCTTGAATAAAGCAGCATGAAGTACCATTCGAATTTTCTTCAGGCTCAGTCTCCTTAGGGAACTTACCGGGTTTGGGTTGGAAAGAACAGACATGTATTCCAAGGTCAGAGGAAGTAAACAGGAACTAGACATGCTATAAGAAATAAAGAATACAAGGCAGCTGTGTTCCAAGGATGGTGGCATTTTCTGCACTTCAGGTTGGCAACTGAGTGAAGTGGGTGGGAGTCAGACCACACTGAAGGACACAGAAGAGCAACAGGGACCATTCCAGAGTGAAAACAATAAAGGAAGAAGATCTGACCACAGCAAAGTCAGGGAAAATTCTCTGAGTCACAGAAAATCCCCAATTCCCTAAGAGAATAATTAGTGGGGAAACAAGCCAGAAATACCAGGTGGAAAGAATATTAAGATTAGAGTATTTATTATCTGTAGTTTGGTGAATATATGCTTGTTCTTCAGTGACTTGTTACCTGTGTACTTCATTACATGTGTGGGTTTAGTTGTTCGAGATCACCCCTCCACTATTAGTAGGCAACACTATAGCCTTCAAACTCAGTCATATGCACAACCTTTCTCTCTTTCAAGTATCCAGATACAGGAATCCCTCCTTTGGCCCAAAATGAACCTTTCCGCCTCGTTCCTTTAGACCATCCCCTCCTTGCTTCTTTATAGTCTTGTTGGATCAATATTCCCTCGTTCTCTGTAGTAGTCCCTCTTAAGCCTGTCTAATTTAGTATAAACTCTCTTCTGATTCATGTCCCTCTGAAGCTACTGTTGTTCATTCATTTTATGAGGATGTGAGAGCTTACCATATGTCAGCATAGCCCCTTTCTCTACTTCCCATTAGAAGAATGTTTTCATTCTCTGCCTCTACTTCCTCACTTCCTAATCACTTCTCATTCACCAGTGACCTCCCCTTGTCACATTCCATAGACTCATTTCACTCCTTATGTTATAGATCCTCTAAAAAGTAGTCAACTCCATGGTTCCTTGCTTCTTGACACTTTGCTCACACCTCATGATGCTCATTCTCTGACCCTCCTCCTCTGCCTTTCTCCTAGGACCTTGTCTATTCCAATGGAAAAGCCCTTAGTGACTCCTCATTGTCTTTGGCAGTAGTTTTCAATCCCTAACAGTATTCTTAACCTCAGCTGCATACTGGAATCATCAGGGAAGCTTTGGACAATACTGATGCCTGGGTCTCCCCATGCCCTCCCTCCCCAAGAGATCATGGGATGTGGGCCAGACATGCGGATTCCAATATGCCACCAAGACTGAGAACTGCTATCTTGGAGATGTCTCTGTGGTTGGGTAAGGTGTTGATTAGTGGGCTCATCAGAATTCCAAACAAAGCTGCTTTTATTTGTTTCATAAATTTTTGTTTTCCTCACATCTTTTGAACAAAAGATTTCTAAACTAAAATTAAATTTTTTAAACAAGTTTGAATATCCTTGTTGACAGAATGAAGTCTGAGTTCTATGAAAATATTTTCTATGATCTGATCCCAATCATCATTCAAGCAATACACCACCATTCCTCACATCAAGCCTTTTAATAAAGCAACACCTAACATGAACTTCTCACCTCTGTGCTTTTGCTCATGCTGCCCTCTCTATGTTGAATGTTTTCTGTTTCTCCTAAGTGACTCCTCCTCATCTTTCCATATGGTTCCTCTATACCCCTATCATATTTGGTTTCATTTCTGTCACTGTACTTACATTGCTGCACGGCAGTGCTTGGATGATGTGTCTGTCCCATTCACTGGGTTTGGAGTCCCTTAATGGCAAAAACTGGGATGCCAAAAAATATAAGGAGCACACGTAGGAGAATCTTTCCCCTTCTCCAGAATTAGCAGCTCCTCCATAATTGGCATAGTCCTCTATAGCCCCAGGTCCTTCCCATTACACCCTTCTCTTTTTTTTGAGATGGAAACCTGGCCCCACTCTTGGGACACCATCATATTTATTTTCCTCTGACATGTATTTTCTCGAATCCATTGAGCCTCAGGAGTGAAGCAAATCTTACCTGCTTCTCCAGTCTCATGTAAAACAGAAGCCCCTTTGTGTCTTTAAGCCCAATTTTATTGAGTTTTTCTGCCTTCCTCCTCCTGTCACTTAAGTCATCTGTCAACTTTTGGCCATCACATGACTGACACTTGGCCCACAAACTTCCTTTTTACTTTTCTCTTTTGAATAGCATTGTTTCTTTCTTCCTTCTCTCTTTCTTTCCCCTAACTTTATCCCCTTATCTCTCTTAAGTATAATTTGAAATATGTATAATTCTGTTTTGACATATGTTTATACAATTATGCTAAAATGTACACATATTTATTTGAATAGAAATCCTACTCTAATTGTTGGATTGCTCTCTTGGTCTTAGAGGCCGCTTAGTTTTTATTTGCTGGTGTTTGGTTACCTGTAGCATTTTTACAATATTACTGTTTTCTATATTAGGAATATCTTCATGGAGCCACTTTGGTATTAGCAATAAGATTCTTCTTTTAATTCTAGGGAACAAAAATGACACATTAGAGGAAGCATTTTACTTTAGGATTGGTTCAGGCAATCACATAGGAAACCAGGAAATTGACTGGAATGGGAGGGAAATGCATAATAAAGATTAAAATTCCTGATGCAGATTTCCATCTCTTTAGAAAGTTAAGTGGGATTTGGCTTCAATATCTTTTCCGATTTTCCTCCTCTCTCTGTTGCTCTGCTTTTCTCTAATGAGGCAGAACATTTCAAAACACTCACACTAGATTCAAGGTAAGTGAGAGAGCCACCCTGGAAGTAAAACTTTACGCATGTTAAATATGGCAAAGCAGAGATGCCTAGGTGGCTCAGCCAGTTGAGTGTCTGACTCTTGTTTTCGTCTCAGGTTATGATCTCATGGTGCCTGGGGTTGAGCCCTCTGTTGGGCTCTGCACTGGCAAGGCAGAGCCTGCTTGGTATTCTCTCTCTCCCTCTTTCTCTGCTCCTCTCCCACTTGTGCTCTCTCTCTACACATATCTCCTTCTCTCTCTCAAAATAAATAAATATTTAAAAAAAAAAACAAAGAATCCAGGCACTGTATGTAAACTTGAGGGCACTGTGAGCAGGCTGTGTAGTGAAGGAGAAAACATGGGTTGTGATGCCAGCTGGTTCTGAGCTCCTGGGTTACTGCTCAATAACCTTGGTCCGACCACTTAACCTCTGGAAGCCTAAAGGAAGTGATCTTGAAAATAGGCCTTCAGGTTTCCTGGCAGGGTCATTGGGAGGATTAAACCAATGACATGTGTAAAGAGTTTGACATGGGTTGGTAATCCTTAAACACTGCTCCTTTTATTTTTGTCTTTCTCTGATTAAAAACATTGATGGGTTTTCCTAGTAAATAACTGAATTGATGAGGTTTGGTCTAAATCAGAAAATAGAAATTCTACAAAAACGTACCCAGTTCGGAGAGATCTGTTAAATAGCCCAATCAAAGAAAGAATCGACAACATAACAGCAAAGAAGATCATTCCCAATAAAAATCCAATGTCTTGTTGCCTGTTGTCTGAAAGGAGAGAAAAATAATTTTAGCTAAGCAGTAGTGTACATGGGATGTCAGAATCATTGTTCTCTCTGTACAAAGCAAAAGTCATTGATCTCAAAAAGAAATGGGAGAACAAAATTAACCTTTACCTTGGGCTGTGGGTACAGTGACAGCCCTTCCAAACTGCACAATATCTTTTATCTGAGAAAATTGGGCTGCACGTATCTGGTATCCGTGAGTTTCTAGAAGTGCATCTCTAGCAAATGTGGTCAGCATTAGACATTTTTCTGAGCTTGTGCATGCATATTTTATATAAAAGCATTTAGTGATGAATCTCATTTGTTTTGTCTGACACAGGTAAGAATTTCCAATTGCTGGTAACAGAATCTAAAGCTAGCCACAATCAAAACTGAGGTTTTTCTGGGTTTTCTTTTTAAAATTTTGAGCAAGAAAGAAGTTAATGTACAACTTGTCACCATTCTTCAAAATTTATCGTTCATGATTTTTTTTTCTGCTGAGAAACAGAAACAACTTAAGACAATATATAAGAAAGTAATGCAAATTGATATATATCTTGCACTCATTTTGTTTTTAAAACAATGCTTTTCTTACATTTTGAAGCTTAATCACCCAAAAATAATTAATATGATATATTCAACACGTTACCTACTAGGCTCATCCCATTTTCTCCCTAGTACATGAAAAAAATCCCATTTTCTATTTTCAGATACTGACTATAATTGAGACTTGTCTATCACACTGGCATTTGTTCTGAGTGATGATGGGTTTTTGGCCTCCTTCCCATTCTCCTTCCCCACATCCTCGCTCCATTTGGCAAATATTTATTAGATACTTACCATTGGCAGACACTTCACTGGCCCTGCCCTTGTTATTTCCCAGCTGCACCTGCCATACACTTAGGGGTCTCCAGGCTGTCTGGCCCCTGTCCTTAAGCCAACTGGTGTTCAGGGGCCAGGTCAGTGTAACTTAGCCCCAACTCCAAAGTCCTAGGGGGATATGGAATTACTGTTTTCCTAGAACTAAAACTCTATTGCTGAAGATTTCACACAACTAATGGGAGGTAGTGGGTGCCACATACCCTTGGGTGTTAGTGCCTGGTAAAGACTAGAGCCCCAGGTGGCCAGGCATAGGGGGTCTAAGGATAGAGCAGAGTGATAAAGAGACAATTGGAGATATCTGGGTTCAAACTGGGCTCTGCCCTTACCAGCCCTGTAACCTCAAAGGATAATTAGGAACCCACTGAAACTCAAATTTCTTCTGTAAAATAGATACCATAACACCTCTCTAAATAGGGCTGTCATGAGCTTCTGACCTCCTCAGTTCCCACAGAAATATCAAGGGGCAGGCCTGGGTAGGCATCTGTAATTAGGGATATGTACTGAGCCTAAGCATTTGGCTCACTGATTTGCATGTATAAGTTCAGAGTGGTTCAAGTTCAGAAGCAAAGTTCACCTTGCTTCATGTTTCTTTATAATACTTAACTGCCACTTGACTCTTTTCTTGTTGTTATCCTCTTTGTTTTTCTCCCAAACTGTCTAAAATGGAAGCTTCATGAAGACAGGGGCTTTGTTCATTGTTTTTCACTACTGATTTCCCACCCAGTACAGTGCCTGGCACATAGTAGTTGCTTAATGAATATTTGTGGAACAAATGAATGGAAGTCCAAAGAATGTCAATGTAACCTGCAAAAATTCTGATACTTTTCCTGCCAGATTTATTATTTTTTAAAATTTTCTTAACATTTATTCATTTTTTGAGAAACAGAGTGAGCAGGGGAGGGGCAGAAAGAGAGGGGGAGACACAGAATCCAAAGTAGGCTCCAGGCTCTGAGCTGTCAGAATAGAGCTGGATGCGGAGCTCGAAATCACAAACTGTGGGATCATGACCTGAACCGAAGTCAGACGTTTAACTGACTGAGCCACCCAGGCACCCCTATTCCTGCCACATTTTTATGCAGGGAGATAAATGATCTACCATTGGCACATGGTGAAATAGTTATGCCTAAAGTTTTTCAATTTGAAATTTCTATTTAGAGTTATATTTGACCATTACACACCTAATCTCATAATTTTTTGATGCCTAAAATATCTAGGTAAGCTCATCAATGGAAAATATTGAATCACACTAACAAAACAGGAGCTAGTTTCTACAAAAGAAAGAGTACAGACTTCAGGATTTGAAAAACAGGATTTGAATTTTAATGTCACTTATTGTGACCTTGGACAAGTTCCTCAGCCTCTCTGAGCTCCAGTTTTCCCATCTATAAAATAGATACACAACACTTGTCTTACCTGGTTGTTTTGAAGATTGAACAAATGATGTATACAACCACCTACCACATGGTATACACTCAAATTACATTTTTTTTAGGAGTTTTGGGGTCTTGAGCCCCAGCACCTATTGAAATGAAAATGTATCTAACCCATAGCAAAAGCTGGCAAAGTCCACCTAAAACATTCCTTAAATTCAGTTTTAAGTGGACCTTTGTTGATAATTTCGATACAGAAAGCCTATGGCATATCTTATTCTCAAGAAATTTATGCCTGACAATGATTTTTCAGTTGGAAGGTTCAAAGGAGTGATTAGTAAAGACCACTCAAAACACCTAAGTAGTTATTTTCTTACCAACTGTACCTTTAAAGATGGAAGCAATTAGCAGTCCAGAATTCTGAGTATCATGTTGGAATGATTTCAGGGTGGGCTGGGAAACTTAAACAAAAAGAAAACAGGGTGAGCTTCTTACATTTTGCATTCAGCTTATTCGATTTCTGAATTACCCATTTTCACTTATTTGGAGATGATTAAAGTAAACTTTAATAGGCCTGTAAGTGGAATAAAAACAAAGGCTTTTGAATATGTGTGTCTTTTTTCTCTCCTTTTAATTTAATTGGTCAAATCCTAAAGAAGGAAACACTGAAAGGACAATAAAAACTAACTTGAGTTTATTAAACCTCCAGGTATGTCCTCTAATTTCATGAGGCTTCTAGGCAAAAAATACCAAGGAGCTTTATTTAATTCACTGACAACAACAACTACAAAAAAAGGCACAATAACTGGTCTCTACTTGATTCCTTCCAATAGATGATGCAATAAATTTTAGGTTTCTGTAAGAGCCTCCAAGATGTGTCACTTTTACCTTTGCACAATCTTTGAGATGCTGTTGGTGAACACTCTCTTGGCTTCATATAAGAAGCTCAATTTTGATTAGCAGACACTTTGAGGTTATAACACAGGGGTGGAATACTTTTAATGACTTCCCTCTGCTCCTTTCCCATTGGCAAAGATTCTGGCCAGCCTTGTCTAGTCATAAAGACTGTCAGGTCACGGCTAATGAAAGCATCTGACCAGGGTGTGGTGAGCAGCCTTGGCAGCTAACTCGCTTTCAGTCTGAACTCAAAGGAGTCCTGGAGCTTTCCTACCCGTCTCCTTCCTTCTGATATTTAAAAGCTTCCAGAGGTGACTTCAAGGACGCTATTCTGCCAGCTGACAGAAGACATTCCTGAAAATGGTTCTAAGCCCTGGATTCCTAAGAGTGCCTCAAGCCCTATTTATTCATTTATTCTGATTCTTACTTTTGAAGAATTACTTGTGGGGCCAGGGAGAAATCACAACATGAGGTAGGCTTAACTGCCACCGTGATATCACAGGCTTGTATAACAGGCTATGTGGCCCAGACAACTCTCTTTGAGAAAAAATATCATGGAGTTTTGATAAAAAGGTTCTTATGGTCTTTGGAAATTTTTGAAAAAGGTCAATCTGGGTGCAGGCACAGGCTCAGTAGTTTTCTAAGAACAATGGGTAGCGAATTCTAGAAGGTTAAAACATTAGAAGAGCTGAAAGTACTTTTCTGTGTTTTATTGTGTCTTCTCTATAGCAAGAGGAAAATGTTACAACAGTGAATTGTAACAAATCAGAATTTCTTTTTGACTTCTCAGTGCTTCACTAGTCTCTTTTGTTCCCAAGTATGTGGTTCCATCAAACTCTGAGGGAGAAAGGTTATGCCCCAGTGATCACCAACCAGCCAGGTTTATGAGTCGAATTTAGTATTTTGTAGGCTATGTTCATTATCAGGGAACCCAAGCAGTAGTCTGCATCTACATTATTTTGAAACATTAAGATGAGAAATATTACATTAAAGTGTAACACAATTTTCAATTTGGCAAAATCATAGGTTTATAGCATATGTTGCTAGATTATTTTTGTTTTCACTTTAATTACTTTAAAATTAGCATTTTTATTTAAAAGTAATATGTGGTGCTGTTGGCTTTTAATGAAGGTTAATTTAATTCTGCTGTATAAACTACAGGTGGCTATTTAGCAATGAGACTTCAGTTATTAATTTGCATCACATAAAAATAATGTTTATATCTAACTAAGGCTTTATTAGCCCTAATAGAGAGAATAACCACAATCATCCTTTAGGGCCTTTTTGTGATCATAGTTTCAAATCAACCAGATGCATTAATTTAAATTAGATTAAAGTTATTTAAGAGAGATGATTATCAGAGCGTAATTTCACAAGGAATCAAATATCTCAAGTGAGACAATTTATAAATAAGATTGTCAGAGAAGAAATTAAGCCAATGACAAAATGTTTAAACATAGGACTGAAATGAAGCCATATATACTGGACTATATTTTTCATGGTATACTGACACCAAGTGGCTGGGTCATTTCTTTTTAAATCATATTTAATATTAATCAGTATGAGAGCAGTAACCTTAATAGAAAAAAAAAACTTTAAGAGGAAAAATAAAAGGGAGAGAAAAAGAACTATCCCTAATTCTATCCCCTTGATCCACTTGCCAGTAGTATTTTATAGTATTTCCAAGTATTTTGACACAGAAAAGCATTCACAAACACAGAATGATGTACACACACACAGAACCTTTATAACTGAAAAACATTGTTTCTATCAGCTCTAATCATCAGTGTATTGCCTAATGTGCTAGAAAAAATCTCATCATATTTTCATCGTTGATTTAATATCTGTGATGCTAGATCCATAATGAGACAATTCTATCCCTGCTTATTTCTCTCACCTCACATGCCTCGGTGTACTCAGAAACTCAAATTATCTCTAATATAGTAAGAGTTTTTAAGTAACTTATACACACTGGTATTGGACTTTAGAATTCGTCTTGCTGAAGACAGTGTGTTTAAGTGAAAATTAGTGGGAGTTTAGAGTAGTTTTAAACAAAAAAAAATAGTTTCCTATTCTTGGATAAGACTTGAAGCATATAACTACATTCTGTGGCCCATCAAATGCTAGACAATTTTCATCAAATCTCAAAAGTGCTTGGTTTTAATAATAATGTATTTTGTTTCTGAGGGATGATACCAAATATGACTCCTCAGTCTTTATGTCTGTACCATGGAGGAAAGTGTGTTTTATTATTCTTTTTAAGTGACCACTCATTGAGTACTGATTATGCTCAAGGTAATATACTAGACTACATGTTTTCTGTCTTTTAATCCTTACAACAATCAAATCAGTTAGAAACTACTATTGTCCTCATTTCATGGGTGAGGAATCAAAGGCATAAAAAGGAAAGATGACTTGCCCAAAGTCACCTACGTAGAGGTCAAAGAGTGAAAATTCGCATACAGTCCTGACACGTAGTTTGTGCTGGTCCCCTGCTCCAGTAATTAAGAAGCTCGCTTCTCCAGCAGGATGGTTCCAGTGGGGCAGGTAAGTCGGCCCCGCTGAGACCTGGCCATTGCTCCTCCAGGGGCGGCCACAGTGTGTGAGAACTGCCTGACCTTGTAGGACTCCAGCCCACATCACAGTGGGCTGTAGTTGGGCTGACCCACTTAGCACTGATCCTAGAATCTTGCAGCCTACAGTTATTTCCTTCTGAAAGCCAACTATTTTCTTTTATTATATAAGCAAGGCATGCTAATTGTAGGATGCTTGAAAAGTATAAAAGAGGATGGAGAAGAAAGTGCAATTTTATATTGGTTCACAAACTAGAAGCAATCATTTTTTAATGTATTTGTTAATAGTCTTTTGTGTATATATGTACCCTAGTTGAGATCATTCTCTCTACTAAATGTTGTGTCTTGTTTTTTCTTTTCTTTCATTATTACGTCATGAACCCTTCCTCATTTTATTAAAAATGTTCAAAATTATCATACTAATAACAATTTAATACTTCATCATGTTTGTACTGTATTTATTCCCCTGTATTTATCCCCCTATTGAGAAATTGTATAGCTTGGTGGTTTCAAACACCATCAGACAAAACTCATTTCAAATCCTGGCTCCACCACTTGTTGTTGCATGGCTCTGGGTAAGTTGCTGAACCCCTTTGTGGCCAGTTTCGTCATTTGTAAAACTGGATAATAACAGCACTTCACCCCTGAGGTCTAAGGGGATAGTTCATATCAAGTACTTAGTACTATGCTTTACACAAGTTAAAATCTTAATAATATTAGCTATTGCTATTATTGGACTTTCAGATTGTTTCAAAATTCTTACTATTATAAGTAGTTACTGGATAAATATCATTATATTTAAATCTTTTTTCCATATCTCTGCTTATTTACTAAGTCTAGATTTCTATTAGTGGAATAGACCCCTTATTGGACCAAAGGGTATGGACATTTGTAAGTTTTCTTTATTTACTTTGGCCTTTGCTAATCATGGTGTCAAAGCCACACTCCCCTAAGTCCTACATCTTAAAGGTTTTGACCAGAGCTGACATAGGGACTTTTATAGACTTTTTTTTTTTTCGGTAGGCACTAGATACAAGAGGAGTCATATTAAAAAGACCAAGGATATGTTTTTCAAATTATTTTTCCTAACATAAAAATCTCCTTTTGTGTTCTCTCTTTCTAAGCTCCTTCTTCTAACAATCTTAGCTGTTTCACAGTGTTTATGTGCTATCTCCCCAGGCCAGTTTAGTTCTAGGGTTGGAATTCAATATTATTGGGCTAAAGGTAAATATTTGACACTAGTCCGAGTCACTTGTCAAAGCAGAAGACAATGGCCAGACCTATTGAATAGGCACCAGAAGCCCAGGGCAGGGAAAGTGATATGTCAGAACAAATTCATTACCACATCTGGAAAAACAAGCCAAATGATGAATCATTTTATGAGTTACAATGTTATCCTTGTGTATTCAGAATAGGAGGGTGTGCCTAGATGTATTCAAAGGATTATGTTCATGCTTATATTCCTAAGCTCTAAGCACTTAGTATGTAGAGGGAGAAGAAAGTGAGAAATATATGTATGGTGATCATATGGTTAAAGAAAAAGATTAAGAAGAAGAAAAGTGAAAAGGAGCAGCCAACCCAGGGAATTTTCCTAAGTGACATAGAATACACAGAGCCATGGATCTGATGCCAAAGTGTAACAAAACTTTATATGCAGGAATAGGCAGCTTCCAAGTCTTACTCAGTAGTTTAAGATTTTTCAAAAGTACGACCTTGCTCCCAAGCATAGCATGTCCCTATTCCTGAGTCTGAATAGTCTAGTGGACATTTGCCATTTTTTATTTGCTCAGCACTGGGACATACTTCCTTGTGGGCATCCTGAAACAGCTAAGAAGCAGGAAAGGCTTCCCACTGTGGAAGCCTTAATGGAACAAAGCTTTCCTCTCCCCATTGCCAGCAAGTAGCTACAAGCAGATGACCTAAACCTTCCTGATGCTTTCCTCCCACCACTGGCACAGAACTACTCAGTTCCAGGAAATTACTTATAGCAG